TGATCACTGCTAAGAACAAGCCTGAGCAATTTCAGATAAAGAAATATCCTACAAATTGGATGGTTGGGCTGCAATATTGCACTCGTTGTTCCTCTAAAATAATATTAAAGTCAATGGATATTAAGCAGTGTAATGTGTTATTAAAATGTATTGATTGCATTTATAACAATGGCTTCTTGACTTAAACATAGCATTTTAAAGACTTGTGAATTATGTGGTTGTCTGCAGTCTATTGAGAACAGCTTTTGGTCACAATATAAAACATTGAACAAGATAGGCCTTATTTTTTCCCCCCAAATGAATATGGATATAGTTGGGAGTTCTATTATATAATGAAATGAAGAAATATATTTATTTCAAATTTCATTATATAATAGAACTCCCAATTATGTCCATATTCATTTGAAAAAAAAATAAGGCCTATCTTGTTCAATGTAATCTCCAAGTAAGTTTTCATAGGATGTGGCTTAAGGGGTACTTTTTAAAATCTTATTTGATTTTGATTTTAAAACCATAGGAAAAAAGACAAAAATACTATAATATTTGTAATTTTTAACATTATATTTCTTTAATAAACCAATTTAATTGATTAATAGGCATAACATTCTGATACCTTTTAATGTTCTAAATTTGCTGCCACAGAGAGCCCCCTAAATTCAAATTTATTATATTCTGGGGCCCTGTAAATGGACAGTTTGTTATAATGTTTATTAACAGTGCAGATTTAATAGTATCCCATCACTTGCAGAAGTTAAATTTGAGGATTGGCAGGGTACCTATAGCAGATTATAATTGCATGTGCCATATCTTCTTGTTTGCAATACTTGGAAATTATTAAATACCTGTAAGAGTGGGAGCTGGAGCTGTATTCTGATTTTACTTTATTTGTTCAGATTGGGTGGTTGGTTTTTTTTGGGGGGGGGGTGTTGTTTGACAGAAAAATTACCATGTAGACACTAACACACAATGTACTCTTTCAGTGTTGGGCTGTCTTATTCGTATTGCAACAATGTACATTTGAAATGGAACCGAACTTTTTAGCTAGCAAACCTAAGAACGTTGCTAAGGACCACTGTGGTATTTACTTTTGTAAATTGTAATTTGTTTAGGATAATGCCTTTAAACAGAAAGTAAGTTGACTGAAGAAAACATATTTTAAGATTTCTAAATAAGATACTCTTTAAGATTTTATTAGACCACCTCTGAAGAAATCACAGCATGTTGTGAGGATTCTTAGCAGTGCTGCATATTAAAGCGGATGGTGGAGTATTTTAATATTTTTGTGGCCTGTTAATTCAGTGAATTAGACTTGATATTTCTTTAGTTTATAAAGGAATTCAAGGTGCTAGCCCTACTATGACTTCAGTTTTCAAGTATACACGAGTGCATCATTAATCATAGGAAATGCAAAAATAAATAATAGAGTTCCCTTGGATTTTTCATGTGAATACTTAAGTTTTCCTCTCTTTTTTTGTATATACAGCTGAGCTATTTTGATAACCCTTAACCTTTACTTCAACAAGGAGGTACAGTATAAAAATATTGCCTCAATTTTCATAGAGTAACTCTAAGGAAAACTTTAGTAGAATATTTGTTGGAAAAAACCAAAAGTTTCTATACAAACTAACTTAGCTCAGCCTCATTTCTATATTTTAGACCACCAATGTGTAAAATTAAAAGCACATGGATTTTGAATCACTAGAAAATGTTTTAATTGATTAACGCTGTATGAAGGTAAAGAAGTAAAGTAAGTTTTGATTTGTGAATGGTTCTATTCAATAAATTTTAATCCTCTATGCCTGATAAAATCTTAGCCTCTCCTATGAATTAGCTTTTTTTTCACTTACTTGTTTGTTTAAGTGTCTAATACTTTGGTGTTCTTTTAACTAACTGGAACATTTTTGTTTTTAGGGAATCTTATATCAGATTAGAGTATTTGAGCAACAAGGGGAGAATATCAGTAGTTACTGGTTCAATAAATAAGCCAATTCATTTATATATCTATATCGTGATTCTAACATTTTTAAATGTAAAATCATCAAATAAAATTATTGTAAGTAGAAACACTTTTTTTAACCCAATGTTTGTCTAAACAAAATAGTTTAGAACTGATATATTAGTCTTGAATAGTGTAAAATATTTGTTTCTAGTAAAATTGATTTATTAATTTTACAAATTCTGATAGGAATACTCTGCAATATATAACATAAATTGTAGTTAATATAACTCTTGTCTTTTCATATTTCAGGGATTAAAATTACATTGGGGGAACTATTAACTGACCCATTTTTATAAACAAGTGATTTAATTTTTTTGTGTTTAATCAGTAAGATATGCAATATACCACAGCATGCAGATTATTGGAAATACAACTTGCCTCTTCCTTTTTTGGCGGGAAACAGTCACTTAAAAAGAAGCAAGAGATGAATATTGAAGAAAAAAATTGGTATCTTAATCTCATGAATTATTTATATATAAACTGAAAGTTCAGGTGCAAATGGTGGGCATAACTCAGCTGGAAATTCTTACTTACAAGCCAGTGAATGGAATAGAAGCTATGCAAGAACACAGGTGTTCCATTCTTTTAAACAAGTTCATGTGGATTATATTGCAGACTTTTTACATATGTTATTAGAAACCTGGGGTGCATTTATTCATGCTACTTATCTATAATCAATTACTGTGGTTAATTTTAATTAAAACCTTAGGTATTTCATGTTGGTCATTACATGAAAAATAGAAAATTACATTCAGAATTGCTCTGATTTACAAGGGCAAGACTACATACATTCCCATCACATGTACACTGATTAAGTTCAATGTTCTGTTCCAAACCCTAATATCATTTTATTTGCCAATGTGCCTAATAGGAAAATATGACTGAATATAAAAGCTTTATATATTACTAAACTGAACGCAAAGGCATCAATTCAGAATCCATTGCTAAATGGACACGATACATTGCTGGTAATAAGAATCAGAGCACTTTATTTATACACATCAGTTTTTCAGTGTTTACTATAGCTAACTTAGCTTGCATATATTTATATATTTAGAGAAGTACTTTAAAGCGAAATAAGCTTGAATTTGTATGCCATGAACTAATGGTTAAATGAAGTGATCTTTTGTCTGAAAATTCATTTTAGATTAGCTTCATCCTCTTTATTTAAATAGGAAGTATTTGAAAGGTTGCTTTGCCCATATCTTTTGTCCAAAAAGAGAGGAACTAGCAATCAGCAATACACATTATATTAATTATAATCATCAATGTTTTCCCTGTGGATATTAAAAGCAAAAACAATTTCCTATGCATATAAACTATTTTTTTCTATTGCAAAGCCGGAATAATGTCTGGTTATTTGTAAACATTTTTGGGGCGGGGGGAAGGGGGAGAATCAGTTGGAAAATACCTGCTGCATTTTTGTCTTGCATGCTAGTTGCCCATTACAGTATAATTCCATGTGATGATGATCTTGCAGAAACTAAGTTTTCAGGCATATGGCTCTCCAGCTCATCATTAAAGCTTGGCATATCAGAAATTAAATAGGTCCCTCTGTTCATGAGTACAAGGCTTGCTTCATGTCTAATTATGCTCAGAGATTGCAGTGGATTCAACAGGAGCCAGTTGAAACGTGTGAAGTAGGAGGGGTAAACTGAACTCCAACCATCAGCTAGATACAATACACATTCAATGTAGGTGCACACTGTGACAGCATTCCAAGCATCAGGGTTTTTTTTTCCTTAGCAGGAAAAGGAAAATCACTCACTTTCAGCCCTAATGTAAGTTTCAGCCAAGATGGACAGCATTAAGAAAATATTGTAAGTGTTTTGATTTTGTTCTCTTTCTATAAGTTGATATTGTTTAGATATTTTTGCAGTATTTCAAAGAGAAAAGGAAAACAGTCTCTCCTGCTACTGCTCCAAGGACTATGAACAGATTTTGGCCTTAGGCAGCTTTTTCTACATCTTTTGAAACTAAGTCTCAGCTGTACAGCAAATACTGCAGAGATCAGTGAAGCTATTCAGACATATTATGCTTTCTTAAAATAGGCAATCTTTTATTTCATATGGTATTAATATATGTACTGACAAATTCAAAAATATCAGAAATGGGAAGGATCAAAGGGGTTTCAGAGATGCTATTTGGGACTTAAGAATTTTCCTTACGTAAAGGCAGACTTTGAAATAAGCGGAGTAAGATCTTAGTTAACTTTTTATCTCATATTTTTAAGTGGCAATTTTAATAGATATTTATACAGAGTTTCCTAAAATGCATTATTACAATTGTAGAATCTTACTGATCGGCGTCTTTGCTCTACTTTACTACTCTATTGTTTTGTTGCCAGGGATTTTCTTAGCTTGTGGGCATATTTGTTTAGAACTGCATAACAGACTTCCTGTAACTTTTGGTGGATGCGAAACAGCACTTTATGCTGTAAACAGAAACAAATACATGAGATTCTCAATTATATCATACACTTTTGGCAGGTCAATTAGGTGCCACAGGATACTTGGTTGTAATCAAATTTTAATTGTGGATTCAGCTTGCCAATGTCTGACTGAAAAATTGTATAAGGACTGTTTTTGTCCTTAACAATTTCATCAGATATTGGGAAATATTGAGCCCTCTGCAGTGAGCCCTCTGCAGTGACTTTACTGCTTAGTCATGGTAAAACTTTTAAATGGTTGGCGTCTTATTCTCCATTCTTTCATGCATTATGCTTAGCATTGACAGCATCGTACCTTGAACACTGATCTGACAACCATACAGTGGTTTCAGTATCTGCTTATGATTATACAGGGAAGGTAAAATCTCCTGACCACTTAGGTGTTCATAGTAAAATGTGTCAAATTCAGTTAATATTCAAATTAAAAGAGCACTATCACTGTTTTTACTCAGACCAAGTTAATTTGGACTAGAAACTTTAAACACACACATATAGCAAACTATTTTTGAAAATCAGCAATATTTCATAATCTTTGGAAACTCAAAGACTTACCCCAGAAGAAGTTTTGCTGACAAGGTGTCACTGAGCTAAAAAGACTGTTCGATGCCATTGCTCTCCCCTCCTGCCGGTGTTTCTTCTGGTGCAAAGAATCTTTGAAGCCTTATACTGAAATCAGAAATCATAGCCAAGGTCCATTAAGTTTTGCAGTATGTCTGGTGTGTATAGAATCTAGATGTATTTCCATTCTGACTACAGTAAAAAAAAGCAAACATGCTGCATTACTGGTAACATGCAAAAAAAAGTAAGGAAACATCAGAAAAAGAAAATGAAGAACTATTTGACAGGTCTAGAACTACTGAACAGAATGTGGTTTGAGAGTACTTACTGACTCTGATGGTCTTCGTGGCTGTTGGTGACCTGTTGAGATTAACCATTTAAAAACCAAAGGCTTCTTGCTGTGTCCTCTTGGAGAAAGTTTGCACCGCACTTGTGGTTCTGTGGTTGTTTGTGAGGCGAATGAAGCATTTACACAATCCAAAAAAGCAAAAGCTTTTAAAACTCCTTTTTTTTGCAAGCCCTGTTACTGGAGAGACAGAATCATGTGGTTTGTGACATCATAGAAGCCAAGTAAAGTGGGACTGCCCAGCACTGTGGCTTTTCCCTTTCCTCCTCCTTTTAAAGTTTGACAAAAGGCCCGTGGTAAGGCCCTTTCTGGAATCCAGAAGGATCTAGCTTTTTAATTTTTGTGACTCATGAGGATTTGGAGAGCATACAAATTGCTGAAAGAGCTTCAACTCCTGTGCCGTTGAAGCATATGGACAGCAGAACTTCAATACTCTGTTTCCCTGCTTGCTTCTCTCTTCTTTCCCTCCACCCCCCACCCACCTCCTCTGCTTCCTTATTGTGTCTGTGGAGAAATAAACCAGAATTGGCACAAATGTCTGTGTGAAATTCTGAACAACAGTGATGATTTACAATAATTTACATATTTGGATTGTATCTCGATCTTGGGGTCTGCTTCATATTTGCTGGGTAGCTGGATTCCTTCTGTTTTTCTTTTTCTCCTTGTCTTCCTGAGCTTGTGAATCTGTAACTCATTGTGAGAAACTTTACCTTACCTCAAGTTCTCCTAGCAGACTGCCTACTGGGGCTGTGTTTTTGGGGCTGTAATTGGCTGTCACTGAAGTGTTAGTTTCGGGATTCCTGAAATCATGTCTGTCTATGTTACATTCTCCTAAAGCTAGCTGGCAGCTTTCTGTAATGAACATTAAATGCAATTATATGCAGCCTTTTCTGTTTCCTAGAAAACCTGTCATCTTTATAGTGTGACTTACTTGCATATTTTAGAAAGATGACACACTATGCTGTATTCTGATATCTTTCTGGTAGTTAATGTGAAACAATTATATATTTAATGTGTTCTATTAAAAACAAAATATTACTTACTGAATGTTGAGGGAGAGATTTCTGTATAAGCAGATTTCAAAGGCTTTATTTGCGTTGAAACATAAATCTGATTCATAGGCATTGCTTAGGCAGTTTGTCGTATAAATTTATATGGTCTTTTAAAGAGTGTTAAAATACAATTATCTATCAAAAGCTTTAGCTGTATTAATGCACATAGTTAAAATGAATCTGGTGTTCTGTCTGTAATTTAGGCCTCAGAATAAATTGCAACATGCTGTGTAGACTAAAGAATATTGTACACAGACATTGTGTGTTAGCATTATTTGCTTATTTGTGTTTTGGACAAAATTGAAAACATCTTTCAGAAACTGCCTAATCCCTGGCACTATTCCTATGTTTCTGTGGGTAATCTTGTTAATATGGTCATAGACCCATTGACTCTCAATACTAATATCTTTAGTAATTTAACTGAGGATAGTAGTTTAGCAACATATAAAAAAAATTCTAGTATTTTCATTTTAAATTAGTGAGATGCACAGAACATTTACCTTTTGCCTTCTATTGAAATCCAAGTAGACAGTGAATAAAACTGCAGGAAAAGATTTTATGTATGCCTATAATGTATAAGGGTTGTGGGTACATAATAAATAAAGAGGAGAAAGGAAGTTTAAAAGAAAAATATAGAAAACAATTTTTGTCTGGATTTTTATATCTTTTATATCTATTTATGAATTCCATAACTTTAATATTCCTAAATTCTGTATATGTAAGATATACTTCTCCTCTTTTAAAACTTTCAGTGTGCTAAAGTGTTATGCTGCACATTTTAAAAATCTAATTGGTGGTAACAACTAAAGTAATCACAAGAAACAAAGATATAAAATTATGTCAATGAATTGTGTCATACGTGAGAGGATTTTGTAAATTTTAATATAATAGCAATTTTAGATTTTAGATTTTAATTTATTACAGTGTGTTCCTATGCATGAATGAATATTTGAAATAAGACCTAATAGACATACATAGGATTCTGAGTCTACACAGAAGTACCCCCCTCAGTCCAATAGGACTCTCCCAGGTAAGCCTATAGGATTACTATGTTAATGATGTAATTTAATTCATAAGTATCAGTTTACTCATGCATATAATTTTCTTCGCTGAAATAATTGATAAATGAAAAAATACCTTTAAAAATATCTTTAAAATCATAAATTTGGGACAAAACTCTAGAAATTGTACTTTTTGGCTAAACATGTCTTAGATTATCTTTGATATCTTGATATTACTGGAATCTGAGTTCTTGTAGTATTCTCACAATATTTTCCTTAACTTTATTTGAAATATTTTGGGTATAATTTATTGTATTTCCGTTAATGCATGAGTTCAAATTTTAGGTTCCTGCAGAATCTTGTAGGGAGCAATGAATCTGATTGTAAGAAACATCTTTTAACATCTTTTGCTGTTTTGTTTTGCATTTATTTGTTGTATTGGATTTCTTTAGAATTCTCAACATACCAGTAACAATCATAGGAAAACACACGTTTAAAAAGAAAATAAAACTTGTGATCTGTATCTTCTAAAATTGTACCTAGAAAACTGGAGGAGAGATACATAATGATCTCTTTTGTTTGAAAAAGATCTATACCAAGGTGGATTTCCAAAGAAATTGTGGTGATCAACCATGATTTTCCATAATTTGTGAGGAAAATGATGAAGAAAACTTTAACAGCCATCTCTTTAGTAGGTTACAGCGCGGCTATTTAGAATCTGGTGTTGCAATTCATTGGGAAGCAGGTTTTCTTGCTTATATCTTTTTCTTCATCTAAAAATAAATATTCAGTTTTCTGGGTTGATTTGGCCAAAAGATGTCTTTGGCAATGAATAGGGAAAGAATTTGGTCCAACTTGTAGTAATAGACGTTTGTCATCTGATATTAAAAAAGCACAAGCATAATCAGAATAATCAGATTTATTTTGCTATAGAATCACAAATAAGGTGATGTTTATATTTATATAAACTATTGAATCACAAAATGTCCAAAATCTATTTGGGAAACCTATAGTCTTTACTTGTATGAAATAGTTAAAAGTGAACATAGACAAGTATTTAGGAAGAGTCTACAGTATAAAGCATATATTTTAGAAGGTTTATTTATACTGTAGACATTTATTTTTATAACAGGTTTAAACAGAATTTCTTGCAATGGTAGCATATAGATGATGTTCACCACAATAAATAACATAATGACACGATTATTAGATGGGTTTTCACAACTTCCAGACATTGCTGTTTTACATTTGCATCTATCAAATATAAAGTCAGTTATTGCATTATTTGAAAGGTGTAATATTGTAAAGCATAACTTTGTTCCGTAACCTGCCTAAAGTCACTCTGCTTTCTATTCTAGCATTCTTCGAACTTCATATCTTATAATTGTCTTCCCTTAATTTATTTAGCAAACTACACTCAAACATAACATGTATAATTATAGTATTTCAGTATTTTGCATCAACATGTTTTTGTCAGAACTTGAAGTTACAATTTTAAAATAGCTTCAATATAATCAGCAGTGCTAGGCTCCCATTAAAAAGCAAACACTTTCCTTTGCCAGTTTTTCATATATGTAGCTGCCTAAAGAAATGATTTAAGAACTCCACAATCCATTTTACTACATAGTAGACAAATTTGAAGATATTCCATGCATACCAATAAATATTGTTGGAAAACTTTTCTGGGAGTGTTTTATTTTGTTATGCTTTATTCTTCAGTATGGAATAATAACATTCTTAGTTTAAGAAGAGTTAGTATAAAAATTCATAGAATGTATGCCTAGTGCTAGTAAATATATTAATAACCTTTTCCCATTTTGCCTTCATTTAATGATACTTGTAAACTTGCAAGAAATGAAGAGAGGCTTCCCTAGAAGTTCCCTTTTTAATTTTTTTTTGCTGCAACAGTGTGAGTTAGATTAGTCTGAGAGATAATGAATGGCTCAGAATCACTTGGCAAGTATCATAGCTAAGTGGGGATTTGACCCTGTGTTTCTTTGGTCTATGCACAATATCACAGTGGCTTTCTTGCTACATTACATTAGCCACTTGGAATTAAAGATTAGTCACGTCTAAAACATGTTCCCTATAATAGATTAAGCGCTTATTTAAACAATAACTCTTTTGTTTTCTGAAATTGTTTTCCTTTGCCTCCTATTAGAAGGTAATATGTCTTCTTTTTGCAGATACAAAAATTGTTTTCAGTAGGACAAAAGAGAATGCTTAATCTGTTCTTCTGTTTTCAGAGTATAATTTAAGATGGGAGTTGTAGTTGACTAAAGTAATGCAGATTTTTCTCCTTTTTGAGATCTATCTTCTGAGGTGGAAATCTCAAAGAATATAGCTGAAAACAAAAGGAAAACATCATTATTAAATTTTGAACCAGCAGTGGAAAAAGTAATCACAAAACCCCCTTTTCAAGCTTATCTTTGCTTGTTAAGAAAATGCATGATGCGAAATAGGTTGATTGTCTCCTTGAACTGTCTCAAATCTTCATACTCTGGACAGAATGAAATTATAAATGTAGTGTGGAGGCAGTGGCTACATTTTGCTTAAATGTTGAATGAATATTGATATGGAAGGAAAACTAGCGTACTCTTCCTCTATTTAGGATATAGTATTATTTCTTTTCTAATTTGATAAAAACAAAACTAGTCTTAACAATTCTGGAGGATGCCTAGTTGGGGTCCACTAAAATTGTGAAGTGTAGTTTTGTTTCTATCAGATTGGGATAAAAGTTGGGAAAAGCTAGGGCTGAGACTGGGAGAGAATACACCATGTCCTAGATCAGGTTTAGAAAAACTGTCCATGGAGGTTTTGCTGAGCTATAGTATCCAGAAATCCTAAACAATGGCAGTGTTGTTTTGAGCTGCTAGGAGCTGTAGTATAAAACATATAGGCTTCCCCAGAGTAATCCTTGATCATCTGTCACAACCTGTTTAAAAAGAAAAACAGGAATTTTTGAGAAAGCCTTAAGAGTAACTAAGCTTTATTAAGTTTGATTAGGAATTTTAAAATTGTTCCTCAACAGCTTTTGAGTGAGTAAAAATAGGGGGAAAAATCCCCAGCTTGTCTTCTGCTTTCTTTGA